CTAGAAAGAATGAGTAATGGAAGTAGGGTAGAATACTATTTTTGTGGAAATTCAATATTTGGAAAGGACTTTCTTGTTTTCTTTTATTTAGGAAACTACTTACCAAAAAACAAGAAAATTAAAAAAAATAACTCTTGAGGCAAATGATGGTTTTCAGATATTAACCAAAAGAATCTCATGAATTTTCATGAAGTATCGGTCAGTTGACCATTTTCTTGGAGGGGGGGGGTGTTGTATGACTTGAAACAATACAATTTGACTGCAATAATCATTTCATTTTCTGTGATACCAGTAAGGTTCCATGATGACAGTGTGTATATGAGTTGTAAGCATCTAATAACAGTTATAGAAGTCATATCTACATATGTGAAAGATAAAGATAATCTGAAATAATAACCAACAATAGGTATTTGCTATTGGTCAAGATCAATATCTCGTCTTTCAAATAAAGAAATAGATTTTGTGAGAGTACCTTGATTTTTATGAAATCTTGATTCAACTTGTGCACAAATAGAACGCAATAGAGCAGCTTGAGTCTGACTGAATCTGGTTTGATTGTCCTATTTTTGATACTAAAGTATTTTAATTTTATCAGAAGCTAATTTTTCTTCATTTGAAGTCGAATTATGTTTTTCAGTGGCCTCCAGAAAGAGTTAAAAATTATAATCATGATGTGCTTTCTCCGTTCCACAGATAATAACATCATCCAAATAAGCGAAAGTATTCTACAGATCTTCCTTTCGAATGTTTTGAATTAGCTAGCGACTCCGTTAGCAACCCCGAATGGAGTTCTTGGAATCTGTAATATATTACCGCTTGCTTCAAAAGCAGTGTACTTCTGTTGATTGATATCTGATGGTTAGCATTCCAGAGATCAATCACGCTGAATATTTCACATTTTGACAATCTTTCAACAATATTTTTTAATCGGAGTGAAGAAGTTGCATCAGATAATGTGAATTTATTTATTAATCGTTTAGGAATAATCAATAAGCATTCTCTTATGAGTTTCACTAGTTGTAATTAATATTGAACGAAAGTCATTTTTTGTGGAGGAAAATCAGATATATTTTATATATATTATCTATGATTATTATTGGTAATCTGCCTTATTTCACTAGAAGTATAGGATGTGGTGTAGTATGGTGGACTACCTCACTTCAATGACAAATATCGAAAATTCAATTCTATGGCCACTTTCAAAAATATCAAATATTTTTACGTACTTTAAGTATACCGTAACTGTTTTGACTGAATGTTAGAATGAATATGGATTGGTATTTCAATAACTGACACATTTCGGGTAGAAATTTGCCGGAATTGTTTTTTTTTGTGAACATTCCCGCTAATGCCAACAGAGTGATTCACGCAATGGTAAACAATGGGCTGTTTAGAATCGGACCTTTGTGATTTTTCATAGTTCTCAAGCCACATTTTGCTATTTCCAGACTTCTAAAAGCATCCAGAAATCTAGCGCCAAGTACAAAGTTCATCAATTCCAGAGTTTTCATTCAAGGCGTTCTACTGACCGACAATAGATTTTTTGGTCTCTAAAATCGGATATGTGCTGCGTTTTCTTTCAAACAAGGTTCAATGGCTCGCTTAGTCAGATCCGATATATTTTTCATCACAGTTCTCACGGGTTATTTCACTTAAGGAAAATATAACAAGCCTATGGACAAGAAAGCTCCGACCAGCGATTTTGTGTTGTGGCGATGGTGTGAGCTATCAGGAATGTTGTTGTAAATCATCCCCTAAAAAAATATCACCGGCCGTCGCTGGTCGTCATAAATCAATTGTGACGTGCTCAACTCGACGTGCGCTCGCGGCCGTTCTTGACGTGGCGTTGCTTCAAAAATAATGCTACCGGCTTCGATGGAATTTCAAGGAATATAATACCATCTTGTCTTATATAAACACTACCTACGAGCATATCGATATAGTCAAGTTTTGCGCGCAGTTCGGTGCAAAGCGATCTGATAAGGCGAGATTTTAATAAGAGTTGAAGTTTTAGTTATTAGTGTTTTGTTGTAATAATAGTTAAATAAAGTCAAGTTTGATTATTATACAGTGTAGTCAATTATTGATACGGGGAATACATAACAATATATCTGAAAGTACCTATTGTTATTATTTCTTTAGAGATCAAATTCTAATCACTAAGACAACCAAAAATGTTAACTCCTGGTTGTTTTCAATTTATATGTGAATCTATCATTCGAGGATATGTTGTCCTTTGATTTCTTTGTATCTGAAATCGTAAATGCATCATCGTCTACAAATATTATACAAGACCGTAGTTCATTTTGATAATTTTCAAGAAAGAGAAATAAAAATCCAAGGAAATCTTTAGTAAACTAAGCATAAACTAGTGAACTTTGAAACTACCTATTCATCGAATTCAATTTATACGTTCTCTTCAGTTGGATTTCATTTGTCGTGGGCCAATGGACCCAGGTTTCTTTTTTCTCTCATTTAAAAAATGTTATATCTGGAAACGCACACTCGTAATGAAGAACTGAGGACCCTTTTCACATCGAAATATAAGCATCTACTCTAAGAGAACAAAACGGTACTCAACAAATGAGATATCATTGTATCTTTTATACATATAAGGGTGACGAAAAGTAAGAGGTAGAAGAGGTAGTAGAGTAAGTAGTTTGTGATGCAGATGGTCGAGTTGTAATGATGCGTAAGAAGCATCATTTTTTCATTTCATTTTTTTTAGTTCAATTTCAGTGTTTGCCAATAATTGACCCCGTGGTTTGCCAATAATTGACTACACTGTACAATTAAACTTTATTTCGCTGCTACTTTGACAATACGACCAAACAATTCAACTAAAACTTCAAAGTAATATTCAAATGTTTATCGCCTTATTAGAACACTTCGCACTACACTGTCAACTAGACTTTCTCGATATGTGTGTGTGTGTGTGTGTGTGTGTAGTGTAGTATTTATAAAAGTTGATCGAAGTCTCTCTAAGCCGATAGGGAAGTCCCCGGAAGTCTATCATAGCGACGCGGTATCTAGAACGATCGCGAATCGCAGGTCGCGTTGAGCGCAACCATGGCCAAGTCACGATCGATTAACAGCGACCAGCGGCAGCCGACGTAATTTTATTCAGGGGATGATTTACAACAATAATAACTGATGTTGACCGACATGTAAAAACAACAAAAAACTTTCAATAATAGGAACACCACTGGAACCACAATATAAAGGTTCCTTTAATGTTATGAAAGTACCTACTCTGAAAATCAGCACGTGCTTCAGTAGTTTTAAGCTCAGACTTTTGCCATTTTCTCAGCAGGTTATGAAAATATGAAATATGAATTTGTCATTTACTATTTCCATTATTGAAATGTTGTTTCAGGATCCTAAACTGTAACTTTTCAAGATCGTAAGATGCCATTAAGTTGGTCGATTGTACCAAATAGTATTGGGGTATTCGCAACTGACGGTTCATTTTATAAATTTCTGAACTAGAAAGAATGAGTAATGGAAGTAGTCAAAAAGTTACTTGAAACAGATTTATATCTTAGTACTTGATTCAATGCATGAATCTCATTCAATGTCAGATTCAGTATTCTCATTCCTTTTCACACAAGCAGATCATTTTGCCTCGTGAGATGTATTTTATTTGTTCACTGTTCATTTCTATATGTATATGTAGTTTTTCTGTAAACAATTTTAAGGAAGTGAATAAATACACATTATTATTATTAATCGGAAAAGATTTTTTTCAACACTTTACTTTTCATTTATTACAAGTAATATTAAAAATATGAGACAGAAATTCAGTGGGATTTCGAAAGGTGGTTTCGGATTTCAATTTCCGTAAAAAATAAAGACACTCTGAGAAGGGGTAGAAATTCAATAGAGTGTACATTATTTTCTTCAGAGAAATTAAATGAAGGGTTAAACTGAAATAACTATCAATTATTTCCTCTATAATCTTTACAAAAAATATGAAAAANGACAGAGAGCCCTCTACTCTAACCTGAAAAGTTCTGTCTTTCAGGAAAGACCCAATCCACCGGATCAGGCCCCGAGGCAGGTCGAACGCGTTCAATTTGTGCAGAAGGCCTTCGTGGCAAACACGGTCGAAGGCCTTCGAGATGTCAAGTAACACAATATGCACTTTCTTATTGTTGTTAAGCTCATGGATGGTGTTTTCGACCAGCATTAGAGTCTGTAACTCAGTGGAGTGTTCTCTCCTGAAGCCAAATTGTTCATCAGGCAGAACATTTCGGTCCTCAACTCCTTCGTTGAGCCTTTGGAGAACAACTCATTCAGCCAGCTTAGCCGCCGACGAGAGTAGACTGATCGGGCAATAATTCTGTGGGAACAGCGGATTCTGACCCTGTTTTGGGATCATGACGACGATCGCATGCTTCCACCTTCTGGGGAAGTGTCTGAGAGCCAACGAACTGTTTATTATGTCCAGAAGGCATTCGACGCAGATGTCCAGGAGCCTCTTTAGTAACTTGTTAGTTATTGAGTCGACCCCCGGAGTTTTCTTGGCCTTTGCGGCCCTGATGTATCCCTTCAGCTCTTCCACAGAAGCTGGACGGATGTCATCATCGTCATCCTCCCCGAGGATTCGGTGAACCCGGTCTTCCAACAGCATATCGCGGTCGATGTCGTCATCGTCGTCAACTTTAAGCTGAAACTGACGTTCCATCGTGTCAGCAAAAGCTAACGCTTTGTCGGCGGGGGAGTAGCACACTCCGCGCTCTCCGTGAATGGGTGAGAGAGCAGTCTTTTTCCCCCTGAGCCTGCGGGTGACTCGCCAAAGGTCGTCACTCCCAGCAGGTTCGAAGGATTCCAAGAGCTCTTCCCACCTTTTGTCTCGGTGATCAATGATGGCCTGCTTGACTTGGTTGGCCATCCTATTTGCCGTATTTTTATTCTGGACTTCCTTCGAGATCTGACTATTCATAGGTCATTCGACTGCTTTCACCTATACCCTCTTAGGTGGTGTTTTTAGCAGACTGTATATAATAAGGTTACTGAGACTTTATATATTAGAAATAATATCACTGTATTGTACTTTCATGACATACCTTGATGAGTTGAGCTACATAGATGCGCCGGCAGATTTTTAGATACTGGGCAGAGAGGCGGTAAGTCCCTCGTTTCGTGGTACCACACACGCACGCCCGATACTCGAAGGTACTCGTGTCAATATAAATACATACAGTGGGATACAAAATAAATGAGTTTAAATGAGAATGGAACACCTCTTCCCTCTCTTTGCTTCATTGGTTTTTAGCGGGAGCTGACCGTTTGGCGGGAGTTGGTCGTGTTCCGTTTGATTAGAGGTTTCCATATGTTACGTATCTCTATGCTAGTTTGGCTAAATGCATTGTTGGACCACATATATATGCGGCTTCTTTGAATTTTCTCCTAAACCAGTGTTCCTCCTTGTGGATGATTTCAGCCCGAGCCCACTTGATGTTATGTTGATGAGGAGATGCCCTCTATATGGGTTTGACAGAATATATGTAATTCGCAAATAAACGAGGGTTGCAACGGCAGTCTGCTCAAAAACGTATCCAGGATTTCTGGAAGAGGATAATTTATCAAATTCTTTTTTGAATGAAGGTGGGGAAGTTTTGTAATTTTTCTTCTTATTCTACTTACTTAGTGTTTTCATCAGATTTATTTCACGTCGGAGGTTCCAAATTCCACCTCTGAACCGTCTGTGTATTAGAAGGTGTGAGTATGTTTGTATTTTTCTGAACTGAGGTAGAATTGTAATCTATTGTTATTGTTCTATTGTTATTGTTACTTTTATCTGAACCTAATTTTATTGTTTTCATCTATATGCATTTCATAACTTCTGCTTTGGTTGATGATGTGGGAGATAGAGTCTTAGAGCTTCTATTGATAATGTTTTTTTTCTGGTGTGTATGTTTTTAATGAGGTTTATCATGTTCAATTGTTTGAAAAATTAAATTGTCGCTAACCATGGCATTTACGTCCGTGATCTGAATTCATACATTTTGAAGGGCCTAGTGGTGCAAGGAATCTAACTTAGCTAGGCTTTTTCTCGAATTCGGTTTAATAAAAATTGATCCAAAGTCTGCAAGAGTTTTCACCACAACGTTGTAAACAGATGTGCATGGGGGTCTGGTACCTATTATATCCAGCAAAGGGTTTTCAAAACATTGATTCCTTTTATTGCTTTCGATATGTGCGTTCCATAAAGAAGGAGGTATCCTGATGATTTTTGCTTCCGGGTACTATAATGATGATCGCTTAAGATGTTGATGGCTTTCTTTATGTCGTCAGTCCCGAGCCAGACTAGGAACTAATTTCTTTTCTCCATATAAATGATGGTTTTCCTCAAAAATTGCGCCACGTTTCAATCTGTTTCGGTTGTAGAAGACTTTACACATAGTTATAATGCCATACCAGCTGTTGCCCTCAACTTCGTTCGCTTGGACTTCAGTTTTTGGTATTCCCAGATTTTCTAATAGCATTACGCATTAACGTCTATTGCGTATTGCGAAATGATAGTGTTATTCATTTACCCTTTCACGAATGGTAATTTTTCATGGTGTTTATCAAGTTGAAGCTTATATTTATTTCATTAAATGAGACACGGAAGTGGACAATTTATATTCTTTGAAAGCCATTTTTCTGGGGGATAACGGAAAAAGATTGTTTTCTAAAACGTCTATCACTAAATACGACAAATTAGTAATTGCACTCTTCAGTGGTTTATATTACTCAGAAACCTTTCTGGTTGAACTTTTCAGTTTGCCCTTTATTACATAAAGTCGGAAAATTACTTTTGAGGTGGTTTAAATGTCTTGAATTTGAAACACGTAATTTTTAACAGTTTCTCAAATTGAAATGATAGGGCAGATGCACCGTTTGTGGCCAGCCACCAAATAATGGTTGAATATTTGATATTACTCGGACGATAAATACGACGTTCTGTGTTGCGCGAATTTCATAGCTCAGTATAAATGAAGCTTCTAATGGTGGCATTTCGTGTTTGACTTGAGGAATTTGTTAAGAAACATGGTTACAGGAAGGAATGGGAGATGGAGAAATAATATATATGAAAATTTCCAATATGGTAAGATCTAACAGAAATTAGCATTTTACTAATAAAAATACTGGAGGTGGGGTTTTGATAGCAATTAAAAACAAATTCAAAATTCTCAATATCGTGAAGCAGTAATTATTCAACTGAGAATAAGCAAGGAAACTTACTTATTCGAGGTAACTTATATTCCCTCTAATAGTCTGAATAATGTTTACGAATCTGCGTTCAATTTTTTACAAGATAATATTAAATACTTTGTGAAAAAACATACATTGTTGGTGATTTCAACATTCAAGGAATAACAGGTACTACTTTAAATTCAAATAGTAACAGTAAAAAATCAATCTGTTATCTGATTCCCTAGACTTCAATGCATTCAAGCAACATAATGATATAGTAAATCACCAGGGTCGTACATTAGACTTAATTCTTATTTCTCAAAACNTAGTATTTCATACAATACATTTAAAAACAAATTCAAAATTCTCAATATCGTGAAGCACGCATTATCATTTGAAGCAGTAATTGTTCAACTGAGAATAAGCAAGAAAACTTACTCATTCTGTGTATTATATTCCCTCTAATAGCCTGAATAATGTTTACGAATCTGCGTTCAATTTTTTACAAGATAATATTAAATACTTTGTGAAAAACATACATTGTTGGTGATTTCAACATTCAAGGAATAACAGGTACTACTTTAAATTCAAATAGTAACAGTAAAAAAATCAATCTGTTATCTGATTCCCTAGACTTCAATGCATTCAAGCAACATAATGATATAGTAAATCACCAGAGTCGTACATTAAACTTAATTCTTATTTCTCAAAACAACTCTGATTGCTGCAAAGTAAATGAAATAGAACTACCTTTCGTAAATGAGAATGGTTACCATCCTGCTGTCTGTATCATCATTTCCTCTCTTGGGGAAATGACAGAATCGACGAATTTCAAAGTAGTTCTCAAGTATAATTATAAAAAAGCCGAATTTCTTGAGCTGAGTCGCACTATTAGAGATGTTGACTGGTATTCGGTATTGAATGAACATGATGTGAATACAGCTTTAGGTAACTTTTATAAGATATGGGAAGATGTTGTAAATAAGTGTATTAGAAAACTAATACAAAATTGAACAGTTTTGTTTATAATAACGAATCTGTTAGTGAAGAAGAAATAGTTAATGCTTTTGCAAATTTTTCCTCGTCAGTTTTTTGTCCACAACCAACTACATACAATTTGCATTTCAACAATAATGATAATACATGATTATTTAATGAAAACTGATTTCAATGAAGCACTGAGAAAATTGAAACCTAAAAAATCAGAAGGTACAGATGGTATACCCGCATATATTTGAAAGGTTGCTGTGAATGGTTGAAAGCCCCATTGATACATATTTTAAATTCAATTATCAAATCTAATTTGTTTCCGCCTATGTGGAAAACGTCCATAACAATACCTTTACATAAATCTGGCAATAAAATGGATGTTGAGAACTATAGAACTATTGCCATCATGTGTGCATCAGCAAAATTATCTTGAACACATTATTTTCAGTAAACTCAGCAGTTTCACCAGTAAATATATAGTACCTCAACAGCATGGCTTCATGAGTCAAAGATCAATTAACACAAATTTATTACTATTCAGTAATGAATCTTTCAACACTATAGAAAATGAATCACAATTGGACACTGTATTCACAGATTCCCATAAAACATTTCATCAGGTTCATCATGATGTACTCTTAATGTACTCTTGGAAAAGATAAGCAGATATGGATTTTCAAGCAATTTCTTAGAATTGATAAAAAATTATCCACAAGAAAGACAATTTATTATCAGATACGATGGAAATACATCTGGGAAATTTTTGGCCAATTCGGGTGTTCCTCAAGGTTAGGACCACTTCTATTCATGTTCTTCATAAACGATTTACCTTCTTATCTTCAATAAATGTTTTAGACTGCATATTGAATACAAGTATTTGAGACTGATTTTCTACATCTCAACAATTTTTGATTCAGTTCATCTCCTACAGTTCTGGGCATTGACATATAGATAATATTTTTATGTAAATAATTGTAATTCACCTTATTTATCCAAGTAATTAGGCTGAAATAGCCTGTATAGGTGATAAATAAATAAATGAATAAATAAATAAATAAGGTAAGTTCAAAGCACATTTTGATGGTTGATGGAAATTGATGGCTGTCATAGGTATTATTTGACTTTTGTAAGTCATCCCTAAGTAATTTTAATTGTCACTAGGAGCTTTGTAACCTTCAAATATTTAAATTAACACTGGCCACGAATGAAGCGCAAATTGGCTGGACATTCTAAAAGTAGCCACTTAGTGGCCACAAATAGAACACGAAATCAAGTTGTGGCCACGTGATAGAAAAAGATAACAATTCTCAAACCAACTGCTAGAGAAAATGATAAGAAATGACTTTGAAAAAGTTACTTCAATACACAGATAATGCCATGAGCGAAGCAGTTAGGGAAGAAAACATGCCTGGGCTACTGCTGCCAAAAAATTTAACGTTCTAAGGACATCTTCCAGAAATAGACTAGAAGGCAGATCGGCTGATAAGTGTAGACGAGTCGGACCTGAATGTGAATTGGGACTGGTTATAGAGGAAAATATTGTAACTTGGATACTTGAGTGTGCCGCTTAGGGTTTTCCTATGAATAGAGAAGACCTAATATATTAAAGTAATAAAAGAATGTGGGGCGAGTCCAAAAGTTATGAAGAAAACCCCAGGAAGAAAATATGCTTCGAGTCGTTCTTGAAACGTCATTCAGAAATTAGTCAAAAAGGCGCCGACAACATTGATGCTAGTCAATGTAGAAGAAAAAATTGCGCCGCCACTCACAATCTACAAGTTTAAACGCTTACCAAAATACATTAAGCAGAATTTACCAAATGGAGAACAAGACACCGCTCCGACAATGCTTGTGGAAAATGACAAATTAGCTCTTTTCAATTTCAAGAGGAACACAGTGATCTTCTTGTATTGCAAGATTTCAAGAATTCCTACGTCGAAAATTATTCTAATTGGCAAGGAGAAGAACGATTTTTAGAACCAGGTTATGGAAATCAGTTAAAGATGATGTGAATCCTGAGAAACACTCAAATGAGCCGCTGAATGTTATAGAAACGATAAACACTGAAAGGGGTCTACTTATTTTTGATTTTCTAGAATTTTCTTTCTATTAGACAATAGACGTTGACGAGCAGGTAGGCATAGAGGAGCAGTTATTTACGGAAAATCTAAAAGCCACTGAGAAACAGATGGATATCTTGGTACAGAAAGTCATCGAAGAACAGACCGGGGATCAGAAGGGCATAGAGAATCAGAAGAACACCAAGGAAGAAAAGGATATTGAGGAACAAAAGGACATCGAAGAACAGAAAGGCATCAAGGAACATGCAAGCATAGAAGAACAAAACACATTAGAAAAACAAACAAGCATGAAGGAAAAGAAGTGCAACGTAGCAGAAAATATTGTAAACGACATAAAGATCCACGGAAAATCAAACATCGAAGTAGAGAATACAATAAAACCTTCCGACCAAATAAGAATTAATATCCTCCAGAATATCACTATTGAGCCAGGTGCAAGCACTAGGGAAGCAAACAAAAATAAAAGATGTGCAACGTAGAAGAAAATATTGATAGCGACATAAAGATCCACGGAAAATCAAACATCGAAGTAGAGAATACAATAAAACCTTCCGACCAAATAATAATTAATATCCTCCAGAATATCACTATTGAGCCAGGTCCAAGCACTAGTGGTGAAGTCATTACAACAAGAGAAGTTAATGAAGAAGCGAGGTTATTGAAGAAACGAACAATAAGTGAAACATGGCCTAACGCAAAAACGACTCCTAAAAACGCAAAATAGGCCAGGATAAGCCTTCCATCGATGATTACTTCAAATGAATGGATTAAAATATTAGAAGTCAAAGCGAAGAGCTGTAAAGAAAATACTGCTGGTAAAAAAAAAGAATGCACAACAGAAGACTGTTAAAAAGAAATCTAAAGAAAATATTGTCAAGATGACTACTACGAAAGAAAATACTTATTACAGTATTAGCTCTAGAGGAAGTCATTGTGAGCGAGAGCAAGATTACAATACCAAAGATGTTAACAGACACCAAAAATCGACTAATGACTTAGTTTTGAGTGTAAATTAATTTGTTTTTCTCAAATATGACAACAATTTTTTTCCGCTGAAATTGTTGGACAAAGATAAAGTATATGTATCTGTTTGTTATTTTCGAAATGAATATGGAATATTATTAGGGTAATTCCGGAGACAGCCGTACGGGAGAGATGGCCAATAGAAAAAAGTTCAAGTAATAATCACTAGATGGCAATGCCTCCAGGTTCAGTAGTTTATATGTCACAAAAATCCGCCTATATAACCTCCGACATATTTATGGAATGGATGAAATCGCATTTCTTGCCTCGAAAACCAGATGGCAAAGTGCTCCTTTTGCTGGACGGTCATTCTACACACTGCAATTCAGTTAAAATGCTGGAGTTTGCTATTGATGATGACATAATCTTACTCTCAATGCCGTCACACACATCCCATTGCCTTCAGCCGCTGGATGTTGCTGTTTTCAAGTCTCTCAAAACTTACTTCTATGAATCCTGCAGGTTATGGATAAAACAGCACCCTGGACGTCGTCTGACAAGACAACAATTTGGCTTTTTATTATACCAAGCCTGGGGAAAATCAGCGTCAAGTGGAAATGCAATATCTGGATTTAGGACAGCAGGAGTTTTCCTTCTGAATCCAGGAATTATTCCGAAGTATGCCTTTTGTGAGAACATTGACCAACCCGTTGAAAGAAATATCGGACATGCAGCGCAGGCCCAATCAATTCTGATTCAGGCCCAAGTACATATACTCAGACGGTGGATCAACCAACACCAACAAGAGTACTTAACGAAGTGTCTGCATTGCCTGTGAAACTACACGAAGTTCGCAAACGAGCGAAACAAGTGAGAATTCTTTTGACAAAACAGAAAATGAAAAATAAAATGAAAAAGAAAATAGGGAACAAAAGTAAAAAAAAATAATGAAAACAAACACTAAGACTGATAAATCTGAGGAAAAAAAGACTGTTACGAAACGAAAGGTAAATCGTAGGTTGTCTAATAGCTGCGAAGAAATTCCCATGGTTTTCAATGATACCTCTGAGAGTGAAACTGAAGACAGAGAAAAAGATAACTGGAGAGGTTGTGGTGATAATTATTATAGGACACAACTGATAGAAGATTGGATACAGTGCAATATTTGCATGTTCTGGGTGCATGAAAATTGCACCGAGTTTGAGGACATGTGTTCATACTGCGGTAATACGAAAAAAAGGAGCTAAAATATCTCAAGGGCAAAGGAAAAGGCAAAAAAGTATTGACCATCTCTTCCCGACTGCTATTGCTATCACTCCCGGACATCCTGGGAGATATGGCCAGCTCTATTTTTTTTATAAGTTTAAAATTACGTTATTGCATTTGTCAAAGTGATTTATCATCAATATTTGATAAGAATTATGAGTAAAGTTTATTTTTTGTATTAATTAATGTTTTATTCATTATAATTCCTGCACAGTAGAGTTTTGAAGTTACTAGTGCCATCTTCACCGGAATTACCCTAAATCTATCTCATTTTAACCCGTGTACTATATTATTATGCATTATTATGCAACATTTACAGTTTCCTTTGATGTGGCAAAAGTGAAAAATTGTCAAGTAATTAATAGTCTAGCTTTATTCGACGATACCAAACTTTTGAAGTGGCCACAAACGGTGCATCTGCCCCACTATACTTACCCATACCAACAAATAATGTAGTGTATGGATACCTTTAGTAGAACCTCATTCATTTCTTTAATGAGGCTAGGTGTACAGACAGTCCCCACGAAATGTAGGCTAACAAACAAACAGAGAGAGGTGGCCGTGCATTTTGATGGCTTTACAACTACAACGATTTCTTAGTCGTTCTTGTATCGGTGACGGTTCCCCATTGTTTGAAACGCTGTCAGAAAAGTTCATAACTGGATCATATACGTGATTCATGACAGAAACGAGAAAATCGGTGGGAAAACAGATGTTGTGGTAGTTGTTGACATTCTTGTGGAGTTGAAAAAACTATTCCATGTAATGCTGAAAAATCAATAAATTGTTGAACTTGCGAAGTACCTGAGACTCTAATGTACATGCTGAAATTGGAAAATCTTGAGTGAACATCCTGTTTTGACTTATAGGTAGGTAAGTAATACTTTCAAGTTTTGACAATTGATTTTCCTCATGATATGGAAGAACATACTTTGTAGAATTGAAAGACTATTTCTATTTACTCTCAAGTTTTGAGTTCGAATTTATTGTGATTTCTTCAAAAAGTAAAGTAGACATGCAATGAGTGGAAATTATTTTTGAGAGATTCCTAAAATATCTTTCATGAAATATAATATTTATAATTACACATTTTTTTTTCGGATTTCTAGTAATTTCAGAGAAACTTGAAGAACCTTAAAGGTCACTGAGTAATTTATACTACTATTCATTTTATAATTTTCACAACTGTTATGTGCTTTGTAACTCTTTGGATGAATCTTTTTTTATACAAATTTTCACCAAAAAATGTTGATGTAAGTACCCTTGAAATCGAGCTTAACATAAGTATCCCTAACATCTAGCCAAGATCGAGCTCGCTAATATAGCAAGAGCACATCTTTATAAAATCTGAAATTTTCTTAGCTCATTTCCGAATGAAATTAGAAAAAGTCGCAATTGTCTTATAACTTCTTCGGGATAATATTAAAGATGATGCCATCCATTTGCAGAAAATAATTATTGTGGTAACTTCTCGATCTTTCACTTTAATAAATTGTAACTGCACTTAAGTTATAGTATTAAAGCCGAATTTTATATATGTCATTTAGATAAGTATTAGATGTTTTTTTTAGTAGCAGAACAGTTTTGTCAATTTGAACATATTTCCCAAAAAACTCGAAAGATATCTGTAGATGCGAGCGCGACACCAACAAATCCAATGAATAGCAATATGTGATGATTACCAGATCAATAATCACGTACGCAGCAGTTGCTGGGTGGCCAAAAGCTCAGGGCAAATAGCTCAGAAAAAGCTTCTTTATTGTATAGAAACAGGCTTGTCAGACTATCTCCGCAGCCATCTGCTCAAAAACATTAGCGGCCGTAGAAATCCTTTCAGACCTACCTCATCTCTATATCTTTCTAGAAAAAGAGATAAGCTAGATGGACAACAACAGGCTTAGTCGGTGCCAAGCAGATCACTGTCAACTGAATCATGATATGAAGAGACTTGGACTGTCGGAAGTTCCGACAGTCACTGTATGGGAGATGGTAGATCAACAGAGCACATACTTTGTAACTACCTCGACGCGGCTCTAATTCTGCTTTCAATCTTTGGCAGATTCAATTTCATCATCGAACCTGAAATATCATCCGCCAAACAAACTATTCAGTTTTGTTGGGAAGCTGGAATTATTTGGTGAAGTTAAAATTGGTATGAGTTACTAATACTCTCGCGGATTGTAGTGGAGTGTCGAATAGACCCACTCACTTTGAACCAAACTAAAGCTTCACACCTTTGCTATTTGGTACCTGTCGAAGCAAATTTGCACAGTTTCTTATTCAGCGGATTTAGTCTGATCCTAGTCGAACGTAATTTTCAATGGGGATGCGCATGCACTGCAGGAAAATCCTCAAGACAATCTGAGAGCGGTGTTTGTACGGAAGTAGCGATTAAAGTTATATTTGAATTACCTGCCTTTCTGAGTTTATTTCGTAATCACGCAGTTCTATGAATGTAATTCTTCTTCTTAAAAAAATTGTTTGAGAATTATTGAATTTAACCTCGAAACTACCAGTTTGCCACGAATTTCGGATGTATACCCTTATCGCTGGAAAAAAAATTGTTAAACCATTTTATAAGTAGAATTTGGAACCTCTGACGTGAAATCTATTGAAAACACTCACTAGAACAAAACGCTGACTCTCGACACGCGTTAGATTCGTCAGAACTAAAACATGTTTTTTTCAAAAACTACACCTCACGATTTGATCTGCACAATAGTATCAGCCCTGATCAGAAGATGACTGACACTGTGATGATAGTTTTAATCCTGATGATGCTAACTTGGTTAGCGAAACGCGTGTCGAGAAAGAGCGTTTTCATACTACTTAACCACGCCACCCTATTTTTGTATTACCAACAAAATATTTGATGAGGGTCCTGGTCGTTTTATTACCTGCAGTAGCGCGCGTTTGGGAATTTAGTAAAAAATACTCGTTCAAACTAATAACTTGATGCTAACTTGGTTAGCGAAACGCGTGTCGAGAAACAGCGTTTTCATACTACTTAACCGCCCCACCCTATTTTTGTATTACCAACAAAATATTTGATGAGGGTCCTGGTCGTTTTATTACCTACAGTAGCGCGCGTTTGGGAATTTAGTAAAAAATACTCGTTCAAACTAATAACTGTGTCAATTCATTTATATACAATTAATATTGTTGTAGCATTTCAATCGAAAATATTCACATAATAATAAAAAATATATGGTGTGTTATCATCAGATAAATCCAATGAATCTTTGTCTAATTTCCACATGTTGTCGTCTTCTTTTATAACCTGTCCAATATATATTCACCATTTTTCGTAATCGACATTTTTTAAGGACTTATCGGGGAGTATTTTGACATCTTTCATTTTGAAATGTCGTGTTTTTTTCTTACAACGAAACCCTTTATTTGGGCCCAAACGACTTCAATGGGATTAGGTTCGCAATGATAGGGGAGCAATAATAAATATTTCTATTCTCCTCTAGCAAATAATTTCATAATTTTTCATTGAGAGCGATTTTTTGTTTCATTTTTCCCAGCTGAAATTCAATTCGTTCAAAGTTTTTCACAAATTCTTCCTGCCTATAATTGAAGACATTGGTCTTCTTTCAAGGCTTACACTATTTTGGCGAGGGTCGATATTTCTTTTTCGAAATAAGATGAACGTACTATTCTTCTGATTGCAAGTTTTGTGATTTTCATCAACAAGAAGAGTTTTCCTTGCTGAAGATGATTTTGGTGATTTCACAATTTCAGTTTTTCTCTCTTTATTGAATTTATATATCGATGATTCGTAAACTCCCATCATTTGCGAACAATTTCCACCAACGATTTTGGCGTATGAGAGCGTCACATACATTAAGAACAATAATCTTTTCGTTAACAGAAAAAAAATTTGCTCATTCGTTTCAATGAAGAAAAACCTGACGTAGCCATTTTAATTCACACACTTACTACAATTTACTAATAACAATACTGATTGAGAAGCAAGGTAAACGATTTTCATCAAAATTCAACATCAAAAGCAATTTGGGGTGTTCAATAAAAAAATATATTAGTTATCAATGTTCCATATTTTTGTTATTCGCCGTATACATACAACTATAAAAAGTATTTTGAGATCTGTTATATCAAATCATACAACAACAATTATTGTTTGAAATTAATACTACATTTTTCACTTTTTAACCGACTTAAATATGTATGCCTGTGGGACACCGACTTGTAAATGATTTATTACGCTGTTGCTCGAGGAAATAGCCTATAGTTCTGTACCAAGTTTCTGAGCTTTCTTCGAAATTTTAATAAAATTATTATGCCAAGACATATTGTTATTCAATTTGATACAATTTATTCGGTGCAGGTAGCGAAATTATGTGCCTTGACATAATGTCCGGTTCTGTCACATTCATCTCCTTAGAGAAAAATGATGATTGTGTTCCTCTGTATAGAGGAATATAAATTGCTGTGATTCAGTTTAAGGAATTAGTTCTACTCATCTCCCGATGATGATAACGTGGCTAACGAAACGCGCCTTGATAGAAAGTACTCTAGTGAAGTGCGAATGTGAAAAGTGTTTGATTAGATAGATCCAGAAGACTAGAACGATCTCTATTTCTGCCAGAAATCATTGTTTTCCCCTTCATGATTAGAATAAGGCGTATCGTATCAGCTTGTTTCGCAACGTTATTTACCATGGACATTCCAAAATTTGACAAAAACTGATAAAGTACCTTCCTTTCGAATACAAATTGATTCAGTTATAAAATTTTAAGAGAAGATCACAATATAATGAAATTTTTCAGTTTCATTTATCATGAAAAAACATGAAAATTTATTGAAATCCCTCGGAAAAAGCTTAGTACATTTTCACAATTTATTGTGGGTATTTGAAAATGTTCGATAAACATTATCATCTCTTCAAATGGTATAATACATTCTACATTACTGTCTTATAAAAATGAATGATAAGAAGTTCTGGTGTGACTCATAAAGTGTCAGATTCATTATTAGTTGATATTACTTCACAGAAACCTGATATGCCGAGGATTTCCTGTTTCATGAATAACACTGTGAATGATGCAACTTCTAAGAAAAAACGAATATATTCTAAGCGTTCAAAAGAAATGGATGTATTCATATTCAGTCCCATTGTTCATAATAATGAAAATCAAGATATGTTATTCGAAATCGAAATGAGTAAGTTACCTAATAAAATGCATGAACAATGGAAGATTTTAGCGATATAACCATTTACACCATGAGTAAAATCCTAAAACACATCAATTTTTTAAACATAACTCTATACAGCTCTCTTAACTCTGGAGAAACAGTATTCTCTTCAAAATTTTTTTGTGAAGAACCAAGGCTGCGTATTAAAGTACATTTAAAAACTTTTTAGGTATATATCCTCGATAATTAAGGGTTTTAATTTTTACTGATATTTTCATTGAAAAAATATTTCAATTTTCATTTCACAAACGAACATGAAACATTTTGAATCATATGTTTAAATTGGGAACCTGTTGCTCCTTTACATTAATGTTGAAAGTTTTTCAAAACTTTTTGTATCGTTCCTGTTTATGAACGAGTATTTTCTTCAAACCGATAAAATGATAGGAAAATTGAAGGCTATTTCACCAAAACAGGGTTTTACAGCGATAAAACGCTTTTTCCCAATAGCGATAAAACTGACAGCCATGAAATTAATATAATGTCACTGTCTTAATAAAATTTTCAGATTTGATTGTGACTGAAGGTTTAATTTGATATTACCATTATGATAGTGACTAGACATCAACTCTACTGAGGCAAGTCAAATGAATAAGTGAATCAAATAAAACTCACAAATAAAACATAATATGTTGTATATTGAATATTAT